ATAAGAAAACAATAAATAACAAAAACGGAGAAACCCAAATTATGGGAACATATTGACTTTCCATCTTCAAAATGGTCCTACTCCTGGCCAGCGGTTCGGTTGATTTGTATTTACTCAAAATCACGTTGCCAATCCATCTTTGGAGCTGCTCTTCTCCAGCGCTACTCTTCTTCAGCACTACTGTATTCTCTTCCCACATCAATCTCTCCAGGTTCGACACTGTCCAAAAGTGAGCCTCTTCAAGGTCACACTGTTGTGCTTGTGAGCGCTCCAAGCAGAAGTTAATCTGGAGGAATTTGTTGAACATTAAAAAGCACTGGTTGAATTCAGATTACAAGCTGTGCCTAATATAAAAAGATGTTATTTGCTCTGTATGGTGAGCAGGTTTTATTACTCTGTGCCCTCCAATAAAAGTTGAAATTATGATGATTCATTTTACGAGTGGGAATATGCGTGTTTGTATATTTGCTCAAAGGAGCTCATTGTAGCTTCTTCTTCTTCCCCCAGCAAAGTGAGAAATATCCTGAAACGAAGGTTGCACTATGCTGCAGTATCCAGCAGGAAAGATTCTTGTGGATCTGGAATTCAGGTACGCATGGTTGCAGGGTGGGAGACAGACAGTAACAAACTATGCACGATGAAGGGTGGGTATATTTGCTACCTCCTTAAAAGTGAGAAACAGCTGTTGTTTATGACAAGCAGATGCAAAAGTAAATTAAAATACAGGCCTTTGGGTTCAGTGGAGGCTTCCTTAGGAGGGTGGGCAGTTTTGCTGCTCCTTCCTCCCCTCTTCAGATCCCACGACCTGCCACAGTGTTCCAGAAGTTCTCTCCATCTTCCAGAGCAAATTTGGGGAAGAACGCAGAGCAGTGTAGGTCTACCCCTCCCATTAATATAGTCTGTTGTGTAATTTTATTTTACTTTTGCTTACATTTTTCTGAGGAGGTGAAGGAGATATTTAAGTTCTAGCACATCACAATCTCATTCCTAAACAGACACACAACCAGAATTATTTGTGTGTCTGTATGCATGTATGTAGTATATGTCCACAGCTGTAATGGTAGCAACTTCAACATCTGCAGGACAGTTGATGCATGCCTACTCAGGAGCAAGCCCCATTGACTTCAATGGAGCTTACTCTCCCAGGTAAGTGTATACAGGATTGCAGCCTTAGAGTCTTAAGAGTTGGAAAACAGCCTTAGAGTTGAAAAACTCCCACCTCCACAAAAAGGACCTCCTACACATAGCTGTCAGGGACACATGTGGCGCTGTGGCTTAAACCACAGAGCCTAGGACTTGCCGATCAGAAGGTCGGCGGTTCGAATCCCCACGACGGGGTGAGCTCCTGTTGCTCGGTACCTGCTCCTGCCAACCTAGCAGTTCAAAAGCACGTCAAAGTGCAAGTAGATAAATAGCTACCACTCTGGTGGGAAGGTAAACGGCGTTTCCGTGCGCTGCTCTGGTTCGCCAGAAGCGGCTTAGTCATGCTGGCCACATGACCCGGAAGCTGTACGCCGGCTCCCTCGGCCAGTAATATAAGATGAGCGCCACAACCCCAGAGTTGGTCACGACTGGACCTAATGGTCAGGCATCCCTTTACCTTTACCTTACACATAGCTGTCAACTTTTCCCTTTTCTTGTGAGGAATCCTATTCGGAATAAGGGAATTTCCCTTTAAAAAGGGGAAATGTTGGCAGCTATGCTCCTACAGCCTACAGCTCCCTTATGCAATTGTGGATGTGGAACCAAGCATGGCAATACATGCAGGTTTGTGGCTAAAAGCAGATCCACTGACTTTATCATATTCTCATCATACGCAGTTATGTCAGTGCAATGTGCGCTTCACGCCACAGTATTTTCTGCTGCTTCTGGAGCAGGGGAGAAATCTTGATATAGTGACATCATCTCAGGTGTTTCGATCAGTGCCAGATTTACGTATAAGCCAAACAAGCTATAGCTTAGGGCCCCACTCTCTTGGGGGCCCCCCCCCCCAAAAAATAAAGGGGAAAAAACACTGGATGTACATTTCCAAAATATAAGATAAAAAACAAATAAAATGAAAACTACATACCGCAACAGTGTTTTGTGTTGTGTAGGCTCCCATGATGTAAGTAATGGGCCCCGCCTGCTAGCCTGCTCCCTAAAATATCACTGGTTTGCTCATTTCTATATGCCTACATTCTGCATGGACTGGTTGCATGGCAACATGTGCAAATGGCTTTAGATACCTATTGGGTCCATAAATTACCATGTAGCATACTGTATTTTTCTGTCTATAAGATGCCCCCATGTATAAGACACTCCCTATTTTGGGGGCAACAACCAATCGCCAGTCCACCCTCTGTACTATCCGTGTATAAGATGCCCACTGATTTTTTACATTATTTTTTTGGGGGGGGGGACCCAGTCTCATACACAGAAAAATACAGTATATTCAACACAAAAAACCAGCGACAATTTGTTGTTGACAAAGGACAGCTGGACATATAAAGGGCCCCATTGCCTTCAGTAGCTTAGGGCCAAATCAAACCTAAAACCAGCCCTGGCTTTGATCCCTGAATTAGGGGGAGAGGAGAGGTACCTCAGTGTGGTGGTTACTGTTTTGGGCAACAAAGTTGCATTTGTTATTATGCCCAGTCCTGCCCTAAAAAGCACATGCATAGGAATCGTTTTAGCAGTGCACACCTCTCTGTAGACAGAGAGCAGCAGCCTAGGCCAAACATCTCAAAAGTCTTTAGCTTAAATTGGAAAGGGTTTTCTGATAAAGTGGAGGACATAACCCAATTAACAGTCAAATTCTGTTTACTCAGAAGTATGCCTCACTGGGGTGTGGGTGGCACTGTGGGTTAAACCACAGAGCCTAGGACTTGCCGATCAGAAGGTTGGCAGTTCGAATCCCCACGACGGTGTGAGCTCCCGTTGCTCGGTCCCTGCTCCTGCCAACCTAGCAGTTCGAAAGCACGTCAAAGTGCAAGTAGATAAATAGGTACCACTCTGGTGGGACGGTAAACGGCGATTCCTTGTGCTGCTCTGGTTCACCAGAAGCGGCTTAGTCATGCTGGCCACAAGCTGTATGCCGGCTCCCTCGGCCAATAAAGCAAGATGAGCGCCGCAACCCCAGAATCAGTCACGACTGGACCTAACGGTCAGGGGTCCCTTTACCTTTACCTTTATGCCTCACTTGGTTTAATGGGACTTACTTCCAGGTAAGTATGCACAGCAAATCTAGATAGCATCTTAAAAAGCAGAGACATCACCTTGCCAACAAAGGTCCGTATAGTTAAAGCTATGGTTTTCCCAGTAGTGATGTATGGAAGTGAGAGCTGGACCATAAGTAAGGCTAATCGCCGAAGAATTGATGCTTTTGAATTATGGTGCTGGAGGAGACTCTTGAGAGTCCCATGGACTGCAAGAAGATCAAACCTATCCATTCTGAAGGAAATCAGCCCTGAGTGCTCACTGGAAGGCCAGATCCTGAAGCTGAGACTCCAATACTTTGGCCACCTCATGAGAAGAGAAGACTCCCTGGAAAAGACCCTGATGTTGGGAAAGATGGAGGGCACAAGGAGAAGGGGACGACAGAGGATGAGATGGTTGGATAGTGTTCTCGAAGCTACCAGCATGCGTTTGACTAAACTGCGGAAGGCAGTGGAAGACAGGAGTGCCTGGCGTGCTCTGGTCCAGGGGGTCACGAAGAGTCGGACACGACTAAACGACGAAACAACAACAACAACAAAGTATGCACAGGCTTACAGTCCTCATTCTTCACTCCGTGTCTGTCAACCAACTCATCTCAAATTACTCACTCTTTTTGCAAAGGAATGGCAGGCAGTCGTACCTAGTGAACTTTTCCCGCCCCCAGGACTCTCTCCAGCCTTCCTGTTTCACAGGCACAACCTACAACTTTAGGATGTCAGTTTCCTCCTTGGGTACAGTGAAGAAAAAAGAGCATCAGCGACTGGCAGATCTCTTGCTGTCGGTGGTCAAGAGTGCAGACAGGCAATTTCATCTGGCGGTATTTCCCCTCTCTGCAAGAATTATTGGCGCAAGCTGTGTACATTGCAAGTTCTCTGCGCCATTCTCCGTGCAAGGCAGCTAATAAGCTTCACTGTATTTTCCTCTTTTCCAGCTGCACTGGCTCCCGGTGGAGTACAGGGTCAGATTTAAGGTGCTGGTTTTGACCTTTAAAGCCCTTCAAGGCCTAGGACCCTCGTACCTACGGGACCGCCTCTCCCGGTATGCCCCACGGAGAGCCTCAAGGTCCATAGATAGCAACACCCTAGAGGCCCCAGGCCCTAAGGAAGTCAGATTAGCCTCAACCAGAGCCAGGGCCTTCTCAATACTGGCTCCGGCCTGGTGGAACGCTCTGTCTCATGAGACCAGGGCCCTGCAGGATCTGATTTCTTTCTGCAGGGCCTGTAAGACAGAGTTGTTCTGCCTGGCCTTTGGCTTGGAATCAACTTGATCCCCTCCCCCTCTTTCTTTTTTCCTTTCTCCTTCTGTGATGGAACTCCTATTTGGGGACTTCCCTGGCTTTTTTCTGGCCCACGTAGGACCAGTTTGGATAGTTGGCCTTGGTGAAGACTTGACATTTTCATCCCAAAAAAGGTTTTTGATTTGAGTTCCTACTGAAATGAGGCTGCATTTTAATGCTGTATTTTAATCTTGTTTTTAAGTTGTATTTCAATCAATTGTTTTTATACCTGGTGTTAGCCGCCCTGAGCCCGGTCTTGGCTTCGGAGCGCAGGGTATAAATAAAAATTATTATTATTATTATTATTATTATTATTATTATTATTATTATTATCATTATTATTATTATTATTCCCACAGTTCTAAGGCTCTCCATGCTGCGGGCCTCACACATTCAGAAGCATTACCAGCTTCTTTCCCTCTTACTTGCAGCTTATCCAAGAACTAAATCACAGATCATAGAATTGTAGAGTTGGAAGGGACCACAGGGGTCATCTAGTCTGACCCCGTGCAATGCAAGAATCTTCTATCCAACATGGGATTCGAACCCACAACCCAGAGATCAGGAGTCTCATGTTCCATCGACTGAGCTATCACTTGGACACTGGCTGGGGAACGAACTGGCTCATAGGCACAGGTGGCATTCTAGAGCGCTGCTAATGTGCTTCCTATTAGTGCTTGAGGTCAGGAAATGGCAATTTGCAGGTCAAAAAGGTCAGTTCTAATTTGTATAGGGACATCCTGCAATGTGGGGTTCCCTGCTTCCCTTGCAGCTAATTCAGTTGCAGCTAGGGTGGCCGTGTAGCCTTCTTTACAGAGGACAGCCTTCTATCTGAAGGGCTGTTAGAGGACAGTCCTCTGAAGGACTGCATGGTCCAAGCATGGTTGGAGGATAAAGGGTCAGGAGAGCAGGGAGTCTGAAGATGGCTGTTAGGACCTAGATACCAGTTTAAGCAGGGACGTGGGTGGTGCTGTGGGTTAAATCACAGAGCCTAGGGCTTGCCAATCAGAAGGTCGGCGGTTCGAATCCCCGCAATGGGGTGAGCTCCCGTTGCTCGGTCCCTGCTCCTGCCAAGATAGCAGTTCGAAAGCACATCAAAGTGCAAGTAGATAAATAGGTACCGCTCCGGCAGGAAGGTAAATGGCATTTCCGTGCGCTGCTCTGGTTCACCAGAAGCAGCTTAGTCCTGCTGGCCACATGACCCGGAAGCTGTACGCTGGCTCCCTCAGCCAATAAAGCGAGATGAGCGCCGCCACCCCAGAGTTGGTCACAACTGGACCTAATGGTCAGGGGTCCCTTTACCTTTACTTTACCAGACTAAGCAGTCACACTGGGAGTTTTCCAATGTAGTGCCGATGAGATTTCTCCTTGCCTGATGGAATGACCTCCTTTGTCTTCCTGCTCTGCTATGTTTTGCATTGCTCTGGGGTTTCTCCTGACCCTACAGAGCCAATTTGGGGGCATGTGAGGCACAGGGAGGAGAGGGAAGAAAGCCCTTGAGGAACCTGTTAGTTGAATACAGCCTTGCTGTTGTTTAGTCGTTTAGTTGTGTCCGACTCTTTGTGACCCCATGGACCAGAGCACACCAGGCACTCCTGTCTTCCACTGCCTCCTGCAGTTTGGTCAAACTCATGCTGGTAGCTTCGAGAACACTGTCCAACCAACTTGCCCTCTGTCGCCCCTTCTCCTTGTGCCCTCAACCTTTCTCAACATCAGGGTCTTTTCCAGGGAGTCTTCTCATTAGATGGCCAAAGTATTGGAGCCTCAGCCTCAGGATCTGTCCTTCCAGTGAGCACTCAGGGTTGATTTCCTTAAGAATGGATAGGTTTGATCTTCTTGCAGTCCATGAGACTCTCAAGAGTCTCCTCCAGCACCATAATTCAAAAGCATCAATTCTTCGACCATCAGCCTTCTTTATGGTCCAGCTCTCACTTCCATACATCACTACTGGGAAAACCATAGCTTTAACTTTACGGGACAGCCTGCTATGTTTAAATCAATCCCTATAAATTAGCCTATGCAAATATTATACAAAACTGTGTCCACCTTTCTATAATGCATAAGTAGCTACTCTATTACAACCAATGGTGCTTACAAATGATCACTTTACCAAGTTATAACTTACTGGTATAGACGCAACTTATATAGTAAGCCGGTTGGACCCAGGGATGATTGAGAAATTCGCTTTAATTCTCATTTAAAGGCAACTCTAACTAATTTGCACTTTCAAAAACAATATGCAAACCGAAACACAGCCATCTTTCAAAATTTGCACTTCTCAGGGTTTTGCAAAGTGGTTCTCTGGCCAACGAATGTATGCAAAAATGCATGTATCAGGGTAAAGTACCATATTTTTCCGTGCATAAGACTAGGTTTTTCCCCTAAAAAATAATGTCAAAAATTAGGGGGGGCGTCTTAAACATGGATACATCCCCCCCCCCCTATTCTTAAATCTGAGTCCCCAAAAATAGGGGGCATCTTATACATGGGGGCGTCTTTTAGATGGAAAATCTTTAGCAAAGATGTGTCAGGGGAAATTATTTTGAAAAAATGTATATATTAGGCAAAATTGTATGCAAGTCTGTATTTTAGGAGTGGCAGTAAAGTGCTGGGTGACTTGCATTTTCAGGATGACTTGCAAAAGAAAAAATACTGCGAACCGACGTGGACTTGTGAAAAACCGAGCTTAATGTTGGAAAACAGAAAAAGAGAGAGAAAGCAAAAATGATAGATTCACCCCTTCTCACTTTTAACAACCTGGCTAGTGGTGAGAAGGGTGGATTGGACGTTCTGAAATTTCAGCCCCTGGAGATTATCTGCATGGTGGTTGCTGTAATTAGGCAGTAATGTCACCTCAAGCTGGCTATGCCAGATATAAGCAGAGGGTGCAAAGTTGCCTCTTAAAGAGAATCGTAGGCAGGGATTTTTTTCAGCCGAAACTGGTCGGAACTCAGTTCCGGCAGGTGGGCGCCATTGCCTTTATAAGAGAACAAGGGAGAGGTTTATGGTGAGTTTCAGCACCTCTTTCTAAAAAAATAGCACTGATCCTAGGACATACCGTATTTTTCGCTCTATAGGACGCACTTTTCCCCCTCCAAAAATTAAGGGGAAATGTGTGTGCATCCTATGGAGTGAATGCAGGCTCCTTGGCTTCAGCGATAGCAACGTGAAGCCTCCAAAGCACAGAGGGAGTGCTCCCTCCGCACTCCAGAGGCTACGCGTTGCTTTCACTGAAGCCTGGAGAGTGAGAGGGGTCGGTGCGCACTGACCCCTCTCGCTCTCCAGGCTTCAGGGATAGCTGCCTGAAGCCTTTGGAGTGCAGTGGGAACTCGCGCTGCGCTCCAAAGGCTTCGGGTTCCTTTTGCTGAAGCCGGGAGAGCAAGACTCTCTCAGCTTCAGTAGAGAGGGAGAGCTGCGCAGCGCCCCTTCAGCGAAGTGGGAGGAGAAATGGAAGGGGCTCCGTTTCTCCTGCCACTTCACTGAAGGGGCGCTGAGCAGAGAGGGGGAGAACAAGAAAATTCTCCCCCTCTCTGCTCAGCGCCCCTTCAGCGTCCTACAGTCGGGTGCGTCCTATAGAGCGAAAAATATGGTATCTGGCAACATTAGGAATAAGGATGCTTGAAGAGTTCCGTTTCTGTGACTATCGATGTGAACTGACCTGGTACTTACCTCCTAGACCAGGCATGCCCAACTCAGTAGACTGCGATCTACTCCCACTATAAAAAACTGGCAGTGATCTATCCATTGGATTGGCCAAAGTTGTTGAGCTATTTTTTGGGAGGAACATCCAAAGCTGGTGAGCTTTCTTTTTAAAAAATGGGGGGGGGTGTAAATAAATCAGGGTCACGTGATCGACCAGGATCGACCAGAGACACCCTGCAATCGACTGGTAGATCACGATCGACCGGTTGGACACGCCTGTTCTAGACTAATGTGCAGATCAGAACAAAATCCTTCCAATTTTGCACTGCTTCCAATGTTGTGACACACTGCCAGAATGAGTTAAAAATGCATAGCTCACAGTAAAATATGCTTGGGCGTGTGAACCCTGAGATGATAGGTATATTAAAATTTGAATTTTCATGCAGACTGTTTGCAGATAAATACAGGAATGGAATGAGCTGATGAGCACGCACATGTGAAATTAAGATGTACCAGAAATAAGATGTCCATCTCTATTGAGGAGGTTTGCTTCACATGTCCCTATTGTGTCCAATGTACAAGCAAGCACTGAAAACACAGCACCTTCAATGTGTTAGACGCTGACCCCACTTAGACACCCGGTAAGATGCAACTTCAAATGCCCTGATCCTGTCTAGCGAGGCCAGCAGGCACCTTGCCCACAATACGAGGGGCTTGGAGCAGGCAAGGCAGGACCACCTTGTATGTCTCCCTTCTCTGGCACAGAAACCAGGCAGAAGCCTGGAGCAGACAAGATGGTTTCCTAGGCAGCCACACTTTGCACGCTCCAAAAAGGGCATGTGCAACAGAGAGAGAGAGAGACCTGCTTTGCTTCTCTTTGCACATGTCCGGAGAAAACGGCAGAAGGAGTTTTGGCAGAGCTGAATGGAAGCACGTCGCTCCCTGCCAAAACTTTGCAGAGCTGAACCACTTGGTTCCATGCGACTGAGGTAATTTGGCTTTTGTTCTTCGGAAGGTCGACTCTAGTTGCTCTCCAGCTAGACCTACTGGGGATTGGAAAGTAGTCTGCTTGTAAGTGATATAGGCGATTGGCCATATAATGTTTTTGGAGCCCTCTCCCCCCAACACACACACACACACACTACAGCTCCAGCAGGATAGATCTCCACTAGTTTACTTGTGGCATCTAGCCTTGTCTTGCTTCTTTCCTCCATCTGCTTTTGCCAACCTATAATGATAATAGATTAATCCAGCCTTCTCAATATGGTACCCTGCAGTTGTTTCAGACTACAACTCCTATCAGCCCCACCCAACAGAGCCAATAGTCAGGGACGGTGGAAATTGTAACCTAAAACGTCTGGAAGGCATGAGCTTGGGGGAAGCCACTGTTGTCTCTTAGGGGTGCTGGGCCTGACTGCAAGGTCTTTCCTCAGTGCAAGGATTCCAAGGATCAGACAGTTACCTTCAGCTTCCTTGCAACTCAATGGTTCTATGGGTGTACTCAGGGGGTGCAGGGGGGTACATACCCCTAGGCATTTTGTGAATCTAATGGGAGAAGAAACTTTAAAAAATAAAAATTTTAGTTTCTTCTCTAGCACGGTGAATCGTCAGTTCCGTTGCTACCCCCGGTGGCAGCCTCATTTCCTGTCATGGTGTTTCCTGAGTCTCAGATAGAAGAAGAAGAAGAAGAAGAGGAGGAGGAGGAGGAGGAGGAGGAGGAGGAGGAGGAGGAGGAGGAGTTTGGATTTGATATCCCGCTTTATCATTACTCTAAGGGGTCTCAAGGGTTCACCAGAAGCGGCTTAGTCATGCTGGCCACATGACCCAGAAGCTGTACACCATTAGGTCCAGTCGTGAGCAACTCTGGGGTTGCGGCGCTCCTCTCGCTTTATTGGCCAAGGGAGCCGCCATACAGCTTCTGGGTCATGTGGCCAGCATGACTAAGCCGCTTCTGGTGAACCAAAGCAGCGCAGGGAAACACCGCTTACCTTCCCGCTGGAGCGGTACCTATTTATCTACTTGCACTTTGACGTGCTTTCGAACTGCTAGGTTGGCAGGAGCAGGGACCGAGCAACGGGAGCTCACCCCGTTGCGGGGATTCGAACCGCTGACCTTCTGATCGGCAAGTCCTAGGCTTTGTGGTTTAACCCACAATGCCACCCGCATCCCAAAAGCCTTCATAAGTGTAAGCTAATTGTTATCTTGTGCTGCACTGTATATTTAGCCTTTATAGCTATGAAGGAAATGAAAAGGAAACCACAAACAGTTGTTGCGAGAACAGACCCTCCAAGTGCCCCTATTTTCCAGCGACAGTCCCAACATTACAGAATCTGTCCCAGTTTCCAATTTAATCCCAGAATGTCCTGCTTTTCCAGAATGTCCCGCTTAGGACGTCCCTATTTTCATCAGAGAAATGTTGGAGGGTATGGATTTATGGGACCCATGAGCCGAGGAGGCAAATAACTACAAAACCTTTAGAAGACATCTGAAGGCAGCCCTGTATAGAGAATTTTATAAAAAAAATTAACATTTTATTATGTGGCTGGGGCAACCCAGTCAGATGGGCAGGGTATGATGATGATGATGATACAATAGGATAATCTTTATTGTCATTGTCCCATACAGGACAACAAAATTGAAAAATCTACATAAGACATTCAAAACCAACAGCTACCCCAACCTGGTTAGCCCCCTAAAAACTCCATTTTCAAATACAATATACTCCCATACAGATGTTGAACTCCCTGCCACATTTGTTTAGTATCATGATTTCTCAGATGGTGCTCCCCCATTTTTAAACCACCCTTTCAATAAGCGATGGATAAATGTGATCATACTACTGAAACCTCTCTCTCTCTCTCTCTTGGTTCATTTAAAGGTTCTGTCTAGCACCAAACAATTTATTTTTCTAGCAAGGCAATATACCATAGAAGGTGTTTTTTTAAAAAATAAATAAATGATGATGATGATGATGCCTGGATTAATTGCAGGATACTAAGCGCAAATTGCAAAACATTTCCCAGCTAAAGGCTGAGTCTCAGGAGGAGTTTAATAAGACCGGGAGTGGATCCTAAGAGGGTTATTGTACACAGGAAAGGGATAATCATAGGAGGGGGAGGGAAAGGGGAAAGATACCACATCTATCATGTGGCAAGCTCCAGTGAGTATTTCCTAAAAGCAAAAAAGTGAAGAGTAGGTTTGCACCCAATTGATTTGGTAAAAAGCACAAGCCCTTGACATTTGCGTTCCCAGGTTCTGGTTGAGAAGAGGGTTGTATTCTTGTGTTGTGCTTTGTTTTCTGCATGATAGCAGCCTGGCATGAGTTTGGAAAAGGCTATCGGCACAATGTAATGCACTTTCATTAGGCAAACTGTACTGGGGGCTTTAGGACGCGGGTGACACTGTGGGTTAAACCACAGAGCCAAGGACTTGCCCATCAGAAAGTCGGTGGTTCAAATCCCCGCGACGGGGTGAGCTCCCATTGCTCAGTCCCTGCTCCTGCCAACCTAGTAGTTCAAAAGCACGTCAAAGTGCAAGTAGATAAATAGGTCCCGCTCCGGTGGGAAGGTAAACGGCGTTTCCGTACGCTGCTCTGGTTCTCCAGAAGCGGCTTAGTCATGCTGGCCACATGACCCGGAAGCTGTATGCCGGCTCCCTCGGCCAATAAAGCGAGATGAGCGCTGCAACCCCAGAGTCGGCCACAACTGGACCTAATGGTCAGGGGTCCCTTTACCTTTACTGGAGGCTTTGCTAAGAATCGGCATCATAATTCTCCACTTATATTTCACATCCCTCCCTTTGTAGTGAACTAAAGTGGCCCAGGTGGATCCGAAAAACACAGGGAGAAAGAACCATTTCACAGGCTGTTCCAGTAAGACAATTTTCCTGCAGCCTAACGTTATTTTTTACTGAAGAAGCAAAATCTTCAGGGCCCCTGAATCACCCCCAACAGGGAAAACATCATACTGACTGCAGCGTACTTGGAGGTCAAACAAAATCAATAGAGCGCTCTCTTAAACCGTCTTTATGCTAACCCTCTTTTCAGAGGTATCTAGGGGGGAAATGGACCTTTTATCATTCTCGTGGCGAGCTTCTTAACCACTAAAGGAGAGCAAAACAAATCCCGCCGTTCTTTCCGCCAGACACCTCAGCTGAGCTGCTTAGTTTGTCAAGTCATCCTATCTGTTTCGTTGCATGAGGCCATTGCTGGCCGGGAATTGGTGAGGCTGCTCAGGGTTTGGAGGGGATGGGAGGAGATCGGGAAATAAATCAATGCCCCCGATTGATCAGAAATTATATTTAAAGCAGGCCATTGGTAAGTTTAACACAGGTCACAGCTTAAAGGGCATAGCAATTTAGCCCCCTGAGATGAAATGTGCAGGGTTTCCTCAGTCATTTCCTGCCAAGAAACAAAATACTGGCTGCAAAATGGATTGGGGGGGGGGGAGGTTTTGACTTCCTTCTGCGTCAGTGAGGCGTCAATCCTTTATTGACATCGGATAAAATAGAATAACGATAATGATAATTGTTTGGGCAAGCTACCCAGACATGTAAATTTATTATGTATACTTGTTTTTCAATTATTTGTTCTTCTATATCCATCAATAATAGATCTACTCCATGCTAATAATAATAATAATTTTTTATTTATACCCCGCCCTCCCCGGCCAAGAGTGGGCTCAGGCTGGCTAACACTGAATATAGGTAAAGGTAAAGGGACCCCTGACCATTAGGTCCAGTTGTGGCTGACTCTGGGGTTGCGGCGCTCATCTCGCTTTATTGGCCGAGGGAGCCGGCGTACAGCCTCCGGGTCATGTGGCCAGCATGCCTAAGCCGCTTCTGGCGAACCAGAGCAGTGTACGGAAACACCGTTTACCTTCCTGCCAGAGCGGTACCTATTTATCTACTTGC